TCTGTTGTCCACCAGGACACCCAGGTCCCTCTCTGCAGAGCTCCCCTCCAGCAGCTCATCCCCCAACCTGTACTGGTGCATGCAATTATTCCTCCCCAGATGCAAGACTCTGCACTTGCTTTTGCTAAACCTCATCTGTTTTTTTTTCTGCCCAGCTCTCCAGCCTGTCCAGGTCTCGCTGAATGGCAGCACGGCCTTCAGGCATGTCAGCCAATCCTCCCAACTTCGTATCATCAGCAAACTTGCTGAGGGTGGCCACTATCCCCTCATCAAGGTCATTGATGAAGATGTTGAACAAGACCGGACCCAGCACAGACCTCTGGGGGACACTGCTGGTTACAGGTCTCCTGCCAGACTCTGCATCGCCAACGACGACCCTCTGCGCTCTGCCAGTCAGCCAGTTCTCAACCCACCTCACTGTCCACTCATCTATCCCACACTTCCTCAGCTTTGTTATAAGGATGTCGTGGAAGATAGTATCAAACGCCTTTCTAAAATCAAGGTAGGCTATATCTACCACTCTCCCCCCATCCACCCAGCATGTGATAACATCATAGAAGGCCCCACCAGCTTGGTCAAGCACAACCTCCCCTTGGTAAACCCTTGCTGACTACTCCTGATAACCTCCTTTTCTTCCAGTTGTCTGGAGATGACATCCAGCACAAGCTGTTCCATCACCTGTGCCTGGAAAGGGGTGAGGCTGACAGGCCTATAATTATCTGGGTCTTCCTTCCTGCCCTTTTTGAAGACCGGAGTGACATTGGCTATCCTCCAGTCTTCAGGCACCTCCCCCATTCTCCAAGACCTCTCAAAGATGATGGAGAGCGGTTCGGCAATGACCTCCACCAGCTCCCTCAGCACACATGGATGCAGCCCATCAGGTCCCATGGATTTGTGGACCTTAGTGCTGTCTAGGCACTCATGGACCACCTCTTCCCTGACTAAAGGGAAGTCTCCCACTCCCCAGACCCTCTCACTAACCTCCAGGGTATGGGAAACCTGAGGGAGAGAAATGGCTATGTAATGATCAATGCTTCCTGGCATTTAATTGATGAGAACTTTAATCCTGCTGTACTTAGTCATGTATAATTTTGCACAATATCTAGAGCAAGAGCTCTGTAAGAGACTGCATATGCAGAATTCTGTCACCACTAGTAGCTTGAGAATTTGCTTGGCGAAAAGTCAGGTAGCCACCGGAGTTATCACTTGTACATAATATGCCTTCTAGGATTTCAAACAGGTTAGACTATAGTGATATATGTTGCTAATTTAAATTAGTCATGTTCACTTACATATTCTTTTCTCGTTGTTACATACTACACTGTAGAAGCAGAGGAAAAAATTCTCAAGTTTGCTGTGAAAACGATTACACTTCCTAAAAGACATACAATTTAAAATATATACAGAAAGAGACAGAATGTAAATAATTACACAGAATATTTTGACTGAATTTGCTCACTGAACTCTTTTTTCTCTATAAATATTTGTTTATATTTACTAAAGTAAAGTCAGCTAATAGCATGTTAATAGTAGGAATAAAGATTTCTGAAGAGCTTGATAAAGAACTTGCAAATTGGACAGGGGCTTAGAAAGATTAAACCAAAGGTTTCTATTTACCTGCCTGACTACAAAAACAGTGTCTCTAAAGTCAAATCAAATCATTCTCTCTGTAAGAGAGAAAAAGTATTTCTTATATTGAAAGAGAAAAATCAGCAGTTTGGTTATCTCCTATGACTGAAGACTGAAGGTACTTTCATGCTTAAGTTCTCATGATAGCAAATGTAACATTAAGATAGAAATATTCCACAGAGTTAAGTTTAATGATTGGCACCACTCAAAATATATTGTTCGTCTTAGCTGAAGTGACATAGAAGCTTTACAAAGCTATGTTAAATTTGTTTTCTTACTTGTGTAATTACCTGTAATATCTAAATGTTACTCTCAGTCAACTTAGGAGAACCAGTCAGATCTCTAGGCATAGGAAAGAGGGGGTACATATGGGAAGGGAACCATGAGAAGACACTGGCAATGTGTCCACAGTTTTAGCCTGTTTTTTAAAGGAAAAAGTATATTAGTCTCAAAAATAGCTGCTAGAGCAAATGTTCTTCTGTGTCTTACTAGTTCGCATTTGAGACACGGCTTGACTGAAGAGCAAAGTCATGAACCTTGACGACACAGCTCCTACTCTGATTAAGAAAGCATGAACATCTCAAAGAAAGTCTGGGTTCATCTACTGAATGAAGCCAAGAACTTCCAATTGTAAATACAAACAGCAGCTGTTTTCCTAACCTCTACTTTCTTCAAACATACACCTTGCTTTACATATAAACAATGTGACAGTTGCTTACTATTTTACAATCAAACCTGCACTGCTCCCTGGAGAAGGATATAGTGCTTGTTATGTAAGTCTATGAAAATTAAAATACCATGTTTAGTACTTTACTTCAGTTGAATTACATGTCCCATGACTAATCCTTGGAGAGCAACTAATGAGAGGTGCAACATTAAGTTGCACAGAAATAAAGCAGTTTGCATTACTTAAAAACATAGCAAAAGCATCCTCCACCTTTGACTGCTCTCCCTAAAGCTACCACTCAACATTTTACATTAATATGGTAACTAATTCACTTTGAAGATGAACTTGATTTTCTCTGTCTTGTTGCCAAAGAAATTCAGTGACTGTAAGTATTAATTATTGACTTCAGTAAACGCAAAATCCATCTCTTGTACTTTATTTTACTCTAAGTGTCCTGGTTAGCCTAGCATGCCGCAGTTACAACTAAGATAGAGTTTCATGGATTAATTCAGTGGTCTATTCTAACTACACGTGGAGGTGAGAATCAGCTTTCTGTGACATCAACAGAAACCAAAGAAAAATGATGATCACTATTTCAATTTAATAGAAGTATTATGGGCCTTTCAACATTGGGAGATTTAAGAGCCCTTCATAAAGACTTCTAACATTGAGACAGTGTTATTACATCACCTCTCCTGAGTTAGCTGGACATACTCGTAGGTCAGAAAACCTGGAAACGGAAGCCTGAAAGACTGACAGACTCAAGAAAAAGGGACTCATTTCATGGAAGAAAACTGGGAAATATGAAAAAAGGAAAAAAACGCACACAGTTTTCTTCCTCTAGAAGACAAAAGACAATGTGAGCATTCAAGGAAACAATTTCATTAAAACATCCCATATTTCATTGCTTACAATGAAGCAATGAAAGCATTTTTGTTTTTATTAATTCATGAAACCTAAAAATAGAAGGTGCAGAAAATGAATAATGAAAGGTCACTTAATGTTTTTTCTTCTTTCTTTCTTTCTCTCTACCCACTACATCCTCCCGAAGTTCCTACCAGCATACATTTAGATTTATTACACTTGTGGGTAAAACTTGTTTATTAACAACTGACCTGATATGATTAATATTAAAGCAGCTGCTCATGAAGCTTTCCAGAATACAATCTTGATGTTTTATTTGGAAACACACTAAAAAGCCAATAGACTGTCCAGACATGGATACCCTCTTGCACCTAATAAATGCAAACACAAAACACAGCTCATGCTTCTACTTCAATACCACTACAGACGTATCAGTTCTCTTCTCCATGAAGATAACAAGGTCTTTCAGACTATGCCTGCTACTTATTTTCGCTTTATTTTCACACATACTATTCAAAGAGATTATTCGCAAATCAGCTCCCTCCTATCACCACTCCTCAATCTACTTTTATATAATCGTACCAGATAAGGCTAACCATTTGTGTTATGACTAGTCAAAAGCATAGATATTGGCCTAACGTAGAACCACAAAATATTGATTTGCTTATCCTATGAGCTTACTGAGGAAGTGAAGCAAATGACACTCAAGAGCAGGACTGCAACCAAGAAGGACCCAGACAGGCTGGAGGAACAGATTAACAGAATTCTCATGAAACACCATCAGGACAAACTCTGAGACCTGCAGCCCCTTAGTCCTGTACAGGAAGCTGGGGCACTGGTGACATATAGCTGAGCTGGAGCCAACTGTGCACCTATGTAGCAATGCCTGGAGTTGTTGGACCAGGACACAGCTCCAGAACCAGTGAGGGAGGGGCTGGGGGCTTTGCCCTATGAGACAAAGCTATGGAGCAAGATTGATTCAGCCATGAGAAGGGGTAGCTTCAAGGATACCCAGCAGCAGCCCCAGCACCAGGGAACGTAGGAGAGGCAGCCAGACTCTACACATAGTGTGAGGTGGGAAGGTGAGAGGCAGAAACACAAGCTGAGACACAAGAGGCTCAAGCTGAAGATGAGAAGCCTTTTGACAAACAGGAATCATAGGATTGCCTGGTCATGAAGCCAAGGCTCCAGTCTGAGGGGTTTCACGCCCCACCTGGCTGAAGAAGCCCTAAGCAGACCTGCTTGAACCCCAGCAGAGTGAGGACTGTTGATTCACCCAGAATGAGTGGTTCTGCTATTGCATGAAACTTGGAGTAATTTCCAGCAACAGGCAAAACATTCCTGACATATTCCTGAAGTTCTAACCCTCTACACCTTACAAAAAGCCTAACTTCAGGATTTTTTGTATCCATTAGTTCTACAAATATGTGAAGATTTAGTACATTTTCTGGCTCAGAGTATTCGTACATTATATAAATTCCAGTGTGTTTATTTATAATTACTTTCTAACTTGCTCTACTACTACTGAATTCATTTTGCATTATGTAGAATCTACCTTTTAAAAGAGAGACATTTTATGTTCTTTTTGCATAACTTTAATCACAACAACTCTGCTATACTTCATCTCTGGAGTGGCAAGCAAGTAATGCTTCATATTTAAGGCTTAAGTTCTGCTTTCATAGAAGTAAACATGAATCATTTCCTTGTTAATAGGTACCTACTACATTAATCACAAGAACACTTAGTTTCACTGCCTGGTCAACCTTTATTACAATAATCATGCACCAGCAATGAGCAGCAACATCTTTGTGACTGTTTTTGACGTGGGTGCAGGACTCACCCCTCCTGCCTTTAGTAGCTTTCTTCTGAATTCTTCTGTCGGGTTGTTGAATGTGAGCTTTTCACAGCGGAGGTGATTTACAGGTGGATGGCCTTCAAGATGCAGGAATAAGTCATAGTCAAATCGAACTTTCTTAGGTTCTTCCTGAGGGTTGAAAATAACCAGATAAAAAGGTCTAACGCCAAAACTAAAATATGGGCTACATCAGTCTCTATATCAAAATTACATCATTTTTAACCATCCTCTGTGCTCTGAGATACATGATAGAATTTACCGAACATCAGCTGGACTACAGAAAATTAAAGAAGGTCCTATCAGCCCATCATAATACATGGGAATATGCATGAACTTCAAGCTGTCTTGACAAGGCTTCTTTGAAGGTGATGTCTGGCATAGGCTAAAGACATACACAAAGCCAAATATCACGATTCAGATGACACAAGGTAACTCAGTCACACCAACACAATCATTTCTGAGCTGTAGGTAATACAGAAGATGCTGCAGTAAATCATTGGATACAATTTCCTCCACAAATTCAAAATAATTGTAAATAAGGGTAAGATTGAAACTGCTGCAGCAAATAATATTTGACTCCTAAGTAAGGTGTCTGTTTATTTATTAATGGAACTTCATTTCCTTGAACTGAATTGGGCAGCAAGATTTCAAGTATTCCACCACAGCTTCCAAGCATTTAAAATTCTTTGCCACTATAATGAAAAAAAGACAAATGTTCCCTGTACCAATGTGGAGAGAAAAAGAACAGGAAAGGCAAATTTATCTTGGACATAATCAGTGCTCTGCTATTCTAAGAAATCCTCAGCTGGAAAAGGACATTACTGTAACCATATAAATTTAAATTGCTAATACCAGAGACATTGAGTATGTTTTGTGCAACACATTTACACAAATGTGTTCTAGACACTGTATAAAACTTAAGTGCTCTTCTAAAGCAATAGCAAGAAGCCCTTTCTTCAAAGGTGCAGATGTACCAAAGAAGGCACCAAACCAATGACAGTCTTAAAGCAGAACACAAGTAAAAGGGCAAATCCTCTAGGAAAAAAAAAAAAAAAAAAAAGAACCACAAGGGAGGAGAAGGAAGAGATGCAGCAAAATTTCAGCCTATAAGCAACAATGCATCTGATCTGTGTTCTGTTCAGTGACAGACATCCCCAGTGCTCAAAAACACCCATCACATTAAAATGTTCAGCTTTGATTCAGGACATTAAGGATATGAAGAATAGGAAGTGTAAAAGTCTCAGGTTTTCAAATACAGCCAAGGGATCTCCTCAGCATCTTGTCTTCAAACATGGAACAAAGACAACAAAGAAGCTGAGACAAAAAGCTTGCAATAGCTTATTTTTTGATGGCTGAGACTATTTTCTTGATAGACAGTATTCAAAGGCAATCATGGATGAAGATATTTCTTATTAAAGACGAACACATGATTTCTTGCATAAAAAAAGGAAGACTGCACCACAGAAAACTGTGACATTGCTATAGGCAATCCGTATTGGCAGCTTTGTCATAGAAGTTACAAAAATAAACTGGAGTCTTCAAAGAAATCTGTGGAAAGTTTGTTGAAGTAATAATTTCAAAGCAGAGTTTCACTAAATATATCATTCCCTGTGCCACTGCCATTAATTCAAACCAGTGAAGTCCTGACAGTGAAAGCAGAATATACTGCAGTTTATGAGCCTTATCCTAAGTGGACCGTAATTTCCAGAGTACAAGTCTTTCAATCTAAAGCCTTCTTCCAAGGAATTTGTCTCAGTGGCTATCAACTACATCTTGAGGTTTATTATATTTTTGGAAGGGGATGCTTGTTATTTCCATAATCTTTAAACATGTGGAACATTTTTTTTGTCAAGTTAAAATGCCTATTAGATTTCCTACCAATTTCTGCTTTGTCCTGGGAAGGAGAACAGTATCACTCTCCATGATCCAAGTGGCATCCTGCACCACTGCATTCTCTCTTCATTACGGTTCTTTCTGAACCAGAAATGGAAAGGTTATCTACCTTGAGTAAGTGATGATGGTCTGCCTCCTCTTCCTCCTTCTAGCTCCTCTTTTTCTGTACTGGAATACCTGTGAAGTGCCTTAGAGGAGGAAGAGTAACTGAACCAGGAGAAAGCAGTAATTTGCCTCAGGAATGCCAGTTCAACTTTTGTGCCACTCCTCCATCATACTGCACTGAGCCCAGGAAATAGGAAATAGGGGTGGGGGATGTTGCAAACTTCCTAATTCCACATGCTGCTTGAGGGTGAGTTGTAATCATTGATGCCCTCTTGATTTCAGTCTAAGCCAACAACTCCTGCTGGAGAACTCCTGAGACTTGCAGTCAAAGGCAGCCAAAACTGAGTGGAAAACAGAAAAAGAAATGTCGGGGGGAAGGCTTCTGTAGAGATGCTTCAGTGAATCACTGTCTTCTGACGTTACGGGTCTGCCTGGTTATGGGATGACCTCTTAACAGCTGAGTTAAAAAGCATGCCAACGAAGCCAGCTAACTCAATGAAGCAGTTCTGTTTCCCTTTCCAACAGCAAATGTGGTAGACTGAGCCCTTCTCTTCACAGATTGATACAGGGAACATTTCAGAATTAATTTCTAAATCTTTATTTAGAAAGTGCCTCAGTAGAATTATCCACACCTCACACTTCAACAGAGTTTCTATGAAAGGCAGAAGAATAATGGAACATCTTCCTGAAGGCAAACAGAGTTAACCAAGTTGTACTCTACACTGAATTTTAAGTGTGCTCATTTTCAGCAGAAGACTTGTTAACTCATTTTCATTTGTTTTTAAGCTTTTCACAAAGCAGTTGGCATTTTAAGGAAGGTGAAATACTGACTTTATTGAAACAGTGTTATATGACATCTTGGAATTAAAAAAACATGTATGCATGTATCTTTGAAGCATGCATGAAGTAAAACACAACAGGTCTATTTTTCAAAGCACAGAAGGAATCCAAAATATTGAAATTATTAAAATTCTGTGCATTAAATCCACAAAATTATTAGAGCTTCTTCTTTAAATTCTACCCACGTCCAGTTCTTATCCAAACAAGTTATTATTTGCAATACAGAACCTACTAGGTGCATTAAAAAAAATCTCTGTATTTGCTACCTGGAGACTGCAAAGTAAACACAGTATTTACTTGCACACTAAATTTGAGATATCACAATAATGCATACATTTTAGAATAGCACTAGATTCCAATTTATGCCCCCAGTAATGTTGAGTAGAACCAATGTTCACATTCACTCTAAAAGAATATATTTTTTTTCAGACTGAGGTGGCAGTATAAAAAAGGTTCTTCATGAAAGACCAAAAAAGAAGAAATTATAAAGATCAGCAATACTTAAAACAATGGGTTCATTATGAATTCAATACGATCAAGATCAGCTTCCTCTCCCCAAGCTTTTTAAGTGGCTCTCGAGCTTCCTGGCTTTAAAGCTTGTCTACTTCTCAGTAGAAGTAGTTATTCTTCTAATTACTGAATAATTCAGCTTCTGTACTTCATCAAGTAATCCTAACTTCAGAGAGTTATCTACAAAATACAGTCAGACATGTATAAAAGTTACAGTGACCGTGAATTACGGAACAACACATTGAAATGTATCTTTAAGCCTACATTCAGTATTTATGCATCAAAATATGTATGTTTGAATATGTGTATACGTTGAGTTTTACTTCTCTCTTTGATTGTTTTGTTGTTGCTAGGTTTTTTTTTTGTTTGTTTTTTTGTTTTTTTAAGCTTTTAAATGAACAAATATGCAATTCCTTACCTTATTTTTGAAGTAGACCTCAATTGGCAAAATGAAACCAGCATAACCAGATTCTTCAACTTTGTAGGGTGGATCCTTGCACACTGAAACAGAGAAAAAGCCTGTATTTAACAGAAAATGTTTAAAAACACAACGTGAACAAACAGTCTGCAGCAACACTTACATGAAAGCATCACTACAAAATTACTCACATATATACACACATATCTTTCAGTTTCTTCAGTCTCTTGGAACACAAGAACCAAGGGATATCAACTCCTGGTGGACTTGCTATCACAAGGCCGCTCAGAAAAAAAAATTATCCAGGAAAAACACTGCCAACACATTCTCCAGAGTACTATCAGTACATCAGCCTTCTGAGGAAATGCAAGCTTAGTAAATCACAGAGTAAATTTAAGCAAAGTAAAGCTACCTCACCATTCCCCTCCTGTTTTGCTGGCACTAACCCCACACAGGAAATTCAAGAATAAGGGAGACTCCAAGTCCTTGCTAACCTACTGCAGCTGTCTAAGGCGACTCAGTTTTCTCCATGCAATTGATGGAAAGGGAGAAGCACTAAAAAAAGCAAAGGAAGAATAATCTTTTCTGACTTGCTTTCAACACAGTTCTCTTGAAAACAAACAAACAAAAAAAAAACCCAGAACTTATTTTGTCTCTCTTAAAAAGAAGAGAGGACCTGTTATTTATAAGGTGAGATTTCAAAAGATTTTGAAGAAAATATTAAGATAACATGTCAAAACTGGGAGGTGAATTCAAACAGAAAAGGCTTTTAAGTTATAAATTAAGCATTTTATCTTAGAATCTCCAAGAAAAATTACTTCATACTGATGTTTTTCCTTATGAGAACTTACCAGCATTTGAAAACGTAAACATAGCAGCCCTACCTAAGGATAGTTAGAGATTATGGTAATATATACTGACAACACTTCAGCTAGGGCAATAGCCCTCCTTGCTTCTTTAGATTCAGAAGATGACTTGAGGAAAAAGCCTCAAGTGTGACATTGTTTGATTGCCCATGCAGATATAAACATGAGACACTGAAAGCCACTCACAAAATATGAAAATTATTAAACATCAGATATTTATAAACTGTAATAATACATTATTTTGTTCAGAGATTTCAGGCTCCACTGCATGGCATACCAGAAATCACCTTCCACTTTATTTAATAAAAAAAAGTCACAGCAATGTCTTCCTAAGAATTTTATTGGTGCAGACCATACTGTCAGCATAATTTTTTTTTTTTATTCTCCCCCTCAAATCGCTCTTCTTTCATACTCACACAAGTGCTAGCAAATCAGTTTGACATCACAGCTCTGAAAACAAAGTCTGTTATAATTGCAGACATGGGTGAAACTTGGGTGGCAAAATGCTTAGCACACGCCAGTGATTGAGCGCCTTCCTAAACTGAAAGATGGGCAGAAAATTCTACAGTCTTGCGCTTGAAAATTCCCATCCCTCTCCCCTACCCCCCTGGGAAAAAAAAAAAAAAAAAAAAAAAAACACCAAACAACGAAGAACAGGTAATGGTAAAACTGTATTATATTGCATATACAATTACTACAACTAAAGTGTAAGCTAGTACATTATTCTCACCTTTCTTGTAGAACACTTAATATGCATACTAGCAAGAGCAACATGTCTGTGCAGCCTGAATCAGGACCCACTGGCATAACCAGCTGGTTGGCAACCAAGGCTCCTGCAACAGCGCTGTAAGTTGGCCAGCAGCTAACAACCTCCCAGTTCGGTGGGTGGAAAAGAGAGGGGTGGTTCACCTAACTGCTACCACAGGAGATACAGAGCGAAAAGTAACAGAAAAGTAAATACTGTAGTGGGGAAGAAAAAGAAAAACTTGATACATCTTGGCTGTCAGATGAATAAAAAAAGGGAAGTATCACTCCTGTTTTTATGAAGGGCCTTTTTTGTGAAGAAATGAAGACCTGAGGAACCACGGGCTGGTGAGCCTTGTGTCTGTGCCTGGGAACATTGTGGAGCAGATCCTCCTGGAAGCTACATTAAGGCACCTATGAGATGAGGAGGTGATCTGAGACAGCCAAGAGTCAATCATATAGATCCTTCCTCTCTGCTATCTGGTTTGAATAGGTGATCCAACTTCAGTACTTTCTCAATAATAAGTGAGGCCCTACAGATTAGTACAGATCTGTGAAAAATTAGTTCCTGCACTGAGAAAACAGTTTCAGAGAATATCATCATTGCAGTGCAATGAGAAGCAGCCACTGGTATACAGTCTCATCTCAGGAGAACTATAAGGTCTGGGAGAAGTGAAGAGAAAAATAAGACAGGTAAATTTCAGCAAGTTCAGTGCTCACAGAACAAGCACATCTCATCTATTGCGTAGAACAATACAGAGTTCATGATACTATGTCAGAATGAAAGATCTTACCAATAAGTGAGAGCCTGAATCTTAGCTATCTGCAAATGCATTTGCTAAACATAGACCAGATTCCCTGAAGCAATCTTTTATGCAATTTCAAAATAAATGCTGGGGAAGCATATGTATATGCGCATAGATCTGCCATTGCACAAGTACTGACTTACAGTAACATGCAAATCTCAGGTGTTCATCTACACTATATAGCCATCTAATTTTCCCTGATAGGGGAATATTTATACACCCAGCTGCAGTCCTAGCTATATTAAAAACAAAAACACTTCAAAAACCTGTAGGAATAGTGAGAAGTACATTGCCTAATGTGCTTTAAACAAAACATGCCTTCCAGAAACCATGTAAAAAAATATTAATGTGCATTTTATAATAAAAATTGCAATAACAACATCCGCATTATCAAGACAAATTCATTAACAAGGATTTCTTCCCTGTATGATCTCAGTACCTGTTTTGCTACTATTCCCTAATACACTCATTATTCACAAATAGACGTGAGCGTATAACTCTCCTTCAATGCACTTTACAACTAAATTCTTCTGGTAATGTCAGCATAATGAGATATACAAAATTACACCAAGCCAGAGCAGGAGTTTGTAAGTTCTAAATTATGTTTATCTCCTACTTGTCAGGCAACTAGTCTACAGCTGACATAAATGGATTAAACCATTTATTTCAAGTATTTTGCTTCCTTATTGCACAGGTGAAGCATTGTATTTAAGCACACACTCCCATGTACTGTGTCAGACATAACTGACACCTGAAGAACAGCTGTAAACCAAAAGATGAAGATGTATTTAAGTAATATTAACAACTCTGAGGCCCATAGAGATTACAATAACAAAATTGTGGTATAATAACCATTAGTTTTAAAGCTTTAAGAAGATATTTGTTTGCCACTCCAACAGTCAACCATTTTCTTGATGAAAAACATGGTCAGAAACAGTAAATAAATACAAAAGTTCATTTCTAGCAGGGCCATGCAGAATTATAGCTTTTACAATTCACATCCACTTTGTGCACCCTACAGGACAGATGTAGTAGGCCTTGTGGGTATTTTATAGATTCCTGCCTATGATTTGCTCACATTGGTCACTGTCTCATTTTTTCCTGTAATTACCATCTTCATTGAAAGAAGTGCCAGAAATGAACAGCATTAATTTTAGATGAAAGCAGGCTGCAGTACCAAGCTTCTCCTGACATAAGAAGCCAGCTTTAAGTACCTGGCTGTGATATTTATGAAAAATCTTTTACCTTGGTACAATAACTGGTGGGCTCCAGTGTTCTGACTCTATACAAAAATGAGGCAAGAAGGATGGCATGTGTTGTACTCTAGCTTCAGGCATACACCAGCCACTAATACTAACAAATTGCCAGACAGGTTCAAACAACAGCTAGCTAAAATTACTACATTGAACATGCTTTGAGTGGTAGCTCATGCCAGGAATAGGATGTTCAAATCTGCTTAATAACTTACACTGACAAGTCTTTCATGAAACACATCGAACACTGAAGCAAAATTACAGAGAGAGATCTAAGGGAGAATTAAAATTGAGATTTCAGCATTGTGTTTACAATCATATTAAGTTTCCTATCCCACATACTGAATTGCCTACATTCCTACAATTTCACAGAAAAGTGAATCCTAACAAGGTTATAGAGTAACACTTCCTGTATAAAGTGTCTACATGCCAACCACTGGCTACCATGGCTGACCTGCAGACACTGGGGAAAATGTTTCCAAACTGAAAGAGGGGAGATTTAGATTGGACATGAAGTTTTTTACAATACGAATGGTGAGGCACTGGCACAGACTGTCCAGAGATGTGGTGGATGTCTTATCCTTGGAGACAATCAAGGCCAGGCTGGATGGGGCTTTCTGCACTCTCATTTAGCTTAGCTGTAGGTGTTCCTATTCACTACAAGGAAGTTGAACCTTTGAGCACCCCTACGAGCTCCAACAATTTTATGGTTCTATGATCATCATCAATGGAGATCAAACTGATACACAGGACAGGAAGAAAGGAAGCAGAAAATCTTCTGTCACACCTAACAGTGTTTTCCATACCAAGTATCACTCAACTACTTAACTCTGCACTGGCCTTTAAACACTGCTATAAGATCAGAAGATAAGAGTTTATTAATCACTCTGAACAAAGATAGTCAAAATAAGGTACATTTTTACACAGTTAAACACACAAGATGAATTAAAGCCAACTTAAAAGTCCGCATCTGCCCTCTTAATTCTGATTCTTCACACATCAAGGCAGAAAAATGCCTTGAGCACACAATTGACGATGTCTGGAACACAGCATGGAGCTTCCCCTGACTAAAGTGGAGCAACCAGAAGTTTCCCACGTACAACGCTGCCAATAATTTTGAAGACTTCTAGGTGTTAATTTAATAATTTCCAGTGCATATCTGTGCAATCTATGTGCCCAAGAAACAAATAAGAAGATGAAGCAGCAAATTCAGCAAATCTAAGTAATCCTAATTTATTTTTTTTTTAAGCAGCACATACCCTCTGTCCTTTAAAATAATATCCCTAAGTGTTTGACAAACTGTTTGAGATTAGTAAAGACACCTAAAGTGTCTTCAGCAATTCATAGTGCTGTGCAAGCTAATTTGATGCAAATGTGCTGCACATGCAAAAGAATATATTCTCTGCCACAGGTA